TGCTTTACATGAAAAACAAGGTTTATTATTATTATGGTTAAGCACCATGGGATATGCTTAGTAGTGGAATTCGAGATTATCTTGTTGCATTATACAATAACAAGATAACGTAGCTTTCAGTTTAGTTGGCTGCCTCAAAGCAACTAAAGGTTAGCCAAGACATAGAGGAGAATAACAGCTTCTTGAAGGCTACGTGAGTCGGTGGGACATCCACATCCACCCGGCTGTGACCCAGGTATATCACCAGATGCAGAATGATTCTGCTCCAGGCGGCAAAAATGTAAGGCATGAAATTCTAGTGACTTTACATAATATTTTTGAATGTCAGCAGATTTGGGAATCACACCACAAGATACTAAGACAAACATTTTTCTCCATTGTTCAATAAAGCATAAAGCAAGCGACAGAAGGCCTGTGATTTCCAAAGAGCCAACGTGGGGCACATAGAGCAGTTGCAATATCAATCAGATGCTTGTCAGTCACCAAAGGGAGAGGCGTGGTCGCTGAGGCTAAAGCAAATCGCAGAGATAAGTGAGGCGAATCCTGGAAAAAAGAAGTTTGAGACATGTAAGAATTTGGGTGAAGTAGAAACATTTTTACGTATTAATGTTACTTTTTATTCTTACTCTTATTATTTCATCCGACAGTTTGAGATAATCAGACAGTTTGAGACAAACAGACAGTTTGAGATGACCAGGCAGTTTCAGATGACCAAACAGTGTGAGATGACCAGACATTGTGAGATGACCAGACAGTGTGAGATGACCAGAAAGTGAGATGACCAGAGAGTGTGAGATGACCGGACAGTGTGAGAGGACCAGACAGTGTGAGGTAACCAGAGAGTGTGAGATGACGAGAGAGTGTGAGATGACCAGACAGTGTGAGATGACCAGACAATGTGAGATGACCAGACAATGTGAGATGACCCGACAGTGTGAGATGACCAGAGAGTGTGAGATGACCAGAGAGTGTGAGATGACAAGACAGTGTGAGATGACCAGACAGTGTGAGATGACCAGAGAGTGTGAGATGACCAGAGATTGTGAGATGACCAGACCGTGTGAGATGACCAGACAGTGTGAGATGACCAGAGATTGTGAGATGACCAGACAGTGTGAGATGACCAGACAGTGTGAGATGACCAGAGAGTGTGAGATGACCAGGTGCTGCTGTTGCTGCTGTTACTGCTGTGGCAGGTGTGATGGGGAACACTGTATGAAAGCTCAGGCTGTGGCTGTGCGGTGTGAGGGCAGGAAACTGATCACTGACTGACTGTACACCATCACAGCTGTTTCCTGACAATTGTGCTCTGAGTTTCCGTCCCACCTGAAGGCCGCCTGACTCCTCCTGTGCGAAGCGTCTTTCCTGACTGCGCTCAGCAAAAAGACTTTACACATAAAAAACAATAACTTGTACAGCTCTTTGCTGATAAACTGTGCTTGACAGTTAACTGTTCTAAAACATCTGCAAACAAACATTTCATTTAAACTCGCAGTCTTGAATTGCAAGTGACACAATGAAGCTCAAACCAACATACCAATATAACGAGACTGAGAACTTGCCTGCATTTGTATTAGATGCTAATTTTATTCATATTATATGTAAGAATACGGCAGAAAATTCAGATGTGTTGACACCGGCCTAACACTCCAGGGAATGAAAATCGACATCACAAGCTTAGTGAAAGAGACAACACTATTATACTCAGGATAATGAGCCAGTATATCCCTGTTACATTACACTTTGTGATAGAAGTGTATTACATGTAGATACTATATATTATTAACACAGATCATTTTTCAGATACACTGACACTTTGATTTTCACAATGAGACTGTCGGTAAATACACATTCCTTGGAATGAACAGCCTTGGGAGGCCACATACACAGTCAATTTTGGACGATGGGAAAAGGGAATAAATGATAGTATGTAAGTCAAGACATGAAGTTACATGGAGGCAAAGCGGAGAAATGCAGTCAGAATTACCACAAAAGCCAGAGCAGGTCCAGCGGCCTTGGCGATTCCACAGATACAATAGGAACCATTATCAACTACTGAGCGGAAAACACTATCAATAAAAAGAAACGCATCAATGCAAAAAAAAAAGAAATAATAAAATGACCTTTTTCGCATGCTCTAAATTGTTATTCTTTTCAAATGATGATTATATTTGGCTGATTCCAAATTATGTCAAATGTTACTCTTTCTTCTCCGACACACCGCCGAGGCACTGAGACCACCAGGATTGTACTCAGAGTCAACAAATGCAAATGTCATTAAAGTAAGTGTCTTGAATAACAATCATAAATAACAAGGATAAAAAATAACGCTATTGCCTGCCGTTTTTCGCTCTCAATATTTACTGTCACTAGTACACTTTTACAGTATATTCTGTGTTGCCTTTTGAGACGCTTCAACGATGCAATTTTATATAAATCCAACGATTATTATATAACTTTAAATTATATTATACTTCACTTTCCTTCAATGCTGGAAGATTTTGTTAATCAGTCGCTCATGGAATCCTTTTCTGCCACATTGTTTGTGAACCGTTACATTGATATATATATCTGTCGAGTGAGAATATGTGTTGTGCTTTGATAAGTTTGCTGTAAGATAGAAGTTCTTGTCTTACTAGTCAGTGCCTCCAAATTCAGTGCATTATTATTTTCCATTGAAGGGATTATTATCCCAGGAAAAGGAATACGCTAATTCACTATCAAACGACTACCTACTGCTCGGTAAACAAGGTCAAGAGCGTGGAATAAAGAAACTTGCCCCACATTTGGCTCTGCTCGGGAATCCAATCTGAGTCCTCTCGCTTGTGAGGCAAGTGCCTCAACCACTGAGCTTCAGGAATCCACAATCTATGCGCTTTGATCTGATCTAACGATGGGACTTTGGTGCTGGTCAGAGATTGCCTGTGTGACTGTCTAATGGGCCAGAGAGAATTACAAACCAAAATACTGCAATTTCCAGGATGCAAGGTACGTCCCGTTACTCTCAGACAAGGTGGGGGGTTCATGTTGGGATCTGAGATCACAGCAATGACTGGTTCTCTGTGTCATCAAACCGAGTCCTCTCTCCAGAATCAGGTGGACTTTAAATAATCTGTGACACCACTTGTAAAAAGAAAACAATTATTTTTTTCAATTTACTGGGTAATAATCCATAAAACAGACAGGGAGCAAAACAAACAGTGTCTGATCAGAATCCCTATTAGAATTTGCTCACGGTTACTGGCAACTGCCAGTATTCATAAGTTAATAATCCTTGCAATTGAAGTAATAGCCTCTCACGAATTCGAGGCATCTCAAAATGCTTCACGGATAATAATACGATTTGAATTGACTGCGCATTTTGTTGTAGAAACGCGGCAATAAATTGCACTGCGCAAAGTTCAACAAACAATTGTGAGTTCACTGACCAAATCATTAGCATTTGACAGGAGATTAACAACCCAAGAATAGTGATCTGCTAACGGAATTACAACCGGTTTCCTTCTTACCTTGGTAAACAGGTTGGTGGAGTAAGGATATGTGAGTTGGAGAAGTGCTCCACTGATATCACTTCTAATTGAAACTTCACATCACATTTTTCTTGTCGGTTTTCTACTTCAATTTCTTCTTCCCTCGTCCCAAAGGAATGTGATTGTCCCTGCATTTCACTTGGCTCAGATTCCATCAGCAGCTCTCGCCATTCGGCTTCTCACTCAAGTGATGGTTTCATGACTGGCGTGAACGCATCAATATACACATCAAATCATTCACACTCATTACATTACTTCATCACCAATCCTTTTTTTGATTTCAGTAAATATGGGGAACAAATATAATAAGGAATAATTCTAGAAGTGTGCTTCGTGCTGAATTTGTATAAGTTTTCCATGAGACCAAAGATAAATGTTGTTAGCAGAAACCAAAATAGGCCTCGTCTAAAGCAGTTTAGCAAAGGAGGCTTCTTCTAAAGTAGTTCGCTCACAAATGTACGGTCAATTCACCTTACAACATACTCCCTGAAGCGCTTACCGACGTCTAGTAGAGGTGAAAAGCGCTACATCAAAAGCAAGGATTATCATTATTATTATAGTAGGAGAAAAGAGAGAAATAGTATGAGTAAGAAAACGTACATTGGGATTTTTTTAAGATCATAGCCGGTCTTAACCTCAAGTCAAAATAACCGCCTTTGCCACTGATCCCTTAATACAATCAATATCAAATATTTTACATCACAATCTTAAAAATATGACGGGATCCAACGTCCACAGACATTTGAAGGCGAGATTTCCAGATAAACACGACATTTTTGGCTTTGCTTTTCACTCCTAAATGACCTTGCTGATATTTCAGATTATGCCACTTGTTCGGGATTCCTCCAACATATGAAACAATATAAATTTTTGGCCATAAAATGCACATTCACTCCACTGTGCAATATATTTTCTAAAACACTTTGCGACCTTTTAATTACTGAAGAAGGCACGATATGAATCGCAAGGATTATAATAATACTTCATGAATAATGATCATTTTTGTTATAATAAGAACATATTACACATAATGCACCTATAATATTCCAAATAACATACTAAGTTCCCCGATATTATTTCCGAAAAGTAATACCTAATTTACTTTTAAAATAATGAATAATTTCTTCTTAAACCATCATCTCAGGGAGCGTGTTCCAAATACTTATTACTAACTGTCTGAAATAGTGTTTCCGCAGATATGGTTTGAATTGACCCCAAAACACACATTTTGACAAATACATGGAATGAAGCAATTGAAGATGATTCAGAGTCAACGCTATGTCTCATACGATTCAGACATACATTTATATTGATTTGCTGTAAATGCAGAATATACAGTTAATATTATTGATTAATGATCTGTGCAGGTCAGAAGGAATGTGACACGTCACTCCCCTCAGTCCTGGATCTATTGGTTGATTCTCAAACCCCTGACCCAGTGGCCTCTGTTAAATAGCGGTCACTGGGGAATGAGGCCAACTGTCCGGCTGCTCTCTGGCCCTCGGTTATTCGGCACAGGTTTGAGTTCTGATAAGTGTCGAGAAGCATGAAATTCCTCATTTCGCTCAGTCTGCTGCTGGCTGCCTTCTCCTGTAAGTGCTACTATTCTGACGTTCTCACTTTTGCTGTGTGGGAACTGTTCTCCTTGCAATGTGACAGAGACAGGAGATTTCACCATCACTCATCTTCAGTGCTTTATTCCTTACAGGTGTCCAGGCTAGCGGGTCGCTGACACAGCCGCCGACTCTCACCGGAAAAACCGGCCAGTCCCTGAGACTGACCTGCAGAACCAGCGGATTTGATCACGACAGCTACTACTACTGTATGTACTGGTACCGGCAGCTTCCCGGGAAGCAGCGGGAAAAGCTCCTGACTTCTGACTACAGATCCAGCAACAGTTTCGAGTCCGGTGTTGGAAACCGCGTCACTGTCGTCAGAGAGAATTCCAATAACATCTTCGATCTGATCATCAAAAGCCCGAGAGTGGAGGACACCGCGACGTACTACTGTGGAGCTTACTCACAGTGAGAGGGAACTGGGCTGAACTTCTACAAATACACAGGGGGAGGAAAGGCAGCCCCTCCCACCCTAAACTGACTGATGGACATCCATGGGGTCAATGCTGTATCTGTAGCCAAGTTTAAAGGAGAAGCTGAAAATGGATTTAGTCTCAGACTAAACCTACACAGTGAATCGTGGTTTGATTGGGGTGAATGAATTCCTTATTTGTGCTGCATTATTCTGTGATTTCAGATGGTGAGTGACACTGTGCTGTTGAGGCGGGAAGGATTGCGAATGGAGACTGTCTATGTTACGGTTCACAAACATCATTTTGTTACAAGGTGATGGAAATAATTGCTTTCTGTTTCTGTGGATATCAAAACACTAATCTATATCCTCTGTGTCATGTTAGAGGGGAATAGTCCCTTCAAGTAAATTTTGGCTGTCAGTGTGGAGCAGACATTGGGGGATCAGTATTTGTATGGGACTGTATCACTGTGTATACAACAGATCACAATGCTGCACACAGTTACCTCCTCATACAAAAACCCCAGAGAGAAAATATGATAATCACTGTCATCACTACAACATCCACAGCTCTCATATTAATGTTACTGAACGTGGGTCATTCTCGGAAATAACCTGATGTTTAGCAAATTAATTAAGTTTAATTTATATTACAGTGCGATACGAAACAAATTTGAGGTGTGCTGAGCTGCTTTAAGAAGAATCCAAAGTCTCTGATGAACATAAGAATTTATTTTGACTTAAACATCACACGTGGCCTCACTGGAGAATTTGAACTGAGATCCAGATTTTATGTCAAATTCCACGTCAGTGTTTGTCAGTCCGTCTTGTGCAGTTTTTGTCACATTGTGTATCACTGTGATACTGGAACCACAGCATTCACTGTCAATACAAAAACCCTTCAACAACAAACCAGCTAATCTCTCTCACTATTCGCTTGTGTGGGACCCACTGAAATTGCGGGGATTTGGTTCTTCTAATATGTTGCTGAACCCCGAGGATTTCACGAGATTTTAAACGACATAAAACATCGGATTTATTCTTCAACCTGTTGGTGAGAAGAAACGTGGTTTGGCACGAACACAGCAAACTGACAAAGACACAAACATTTAAAAGGTAAACGCAGAGCCGAGCAATTGTTTTCAGAACATGACAGACACATATCGTGATCTGTGTGTGGTTTGGGAAAGCCAACACTTACAGCAATATTGTTTTTATGTGGTCTGCCCACTCAGCAGTTGTTGAAGTGAGCAGCCCACTGACTGCAGCACAGTGACTGCAGCAGCCCTGACTACTGGGGACAAGGCACAGCGGTGACGGTGACTGACGGTAAGAACAGACACTAACTCACTCACTTCAGTGAACGGGTCTCTTTATATATTCGTTTTCTTCACTTTAGCAGCTTGTTAATGTAATGAACTCCGTGTTGCAGGCTATCTCACACTTTAATCCAACTTGAAAGTATTTATCTGTTATTGCTTTCAACAGCAACTGTTCCATTATGGATTACTCTCTCAATATTTAGGTAATTGTTGGTGATATTTCTAGTGGTTTGTGAAGATCCAGCAGAGGTCAATCTGATGGACTTTCTTATTGCGGTGACTGGCGGCTGCTGGGTTTCGGTGTTTAAGTGTGCAAAAGTGTTTGAAACTGTGCCCATTCTTTGGGAATTAGGGCCAGAAATGTGGTGGGATGAGTGATGGGAATGTTATCTGATCGCTTCCAACAGCAGTTGAGAATAACTGTGTGGCGTCCTATAGCTCAGTGGTTAGAGTATTCGCCTTCCAAGCGAGAGACCTGGTTTCTATTCAAGGTAGGACGAAATCTTGGGAAAGTTTCCTTACAATTTCTGACAATAATCCCTCCAAAAACCAAAACAGTAATATAATAAATTCGTCATTTTCAATCACGACTTTTGGTGGGACACTGCTGTGCGCAATTGGCTGCCGCGTTTCACCCACAAATATACAGTCAATTAACTTTACAGTCTATTCTGTGAAGTGCTTTGAGACGTCAAAGAGATGCGAAAAACACGACATCAAATGCAAGGATTATTATTATTATGTATTTAAATCCATTGTTTAACATAAGGAAATTGGTTGCGATTTAGAATGACTCGTATGCGTAGGGGATGACACTGAGAATAAAGCGGTTTATATTGCAGTGATGTGATTGAGAATACAGCAGCTCAATCGACTCCAATGTTACAGAAATAATAGTGAAGGTCATTATTTTATTATCAGCACTAATGTGTTGCTCACAATCTCATTCCTTCAGCTGCACCACATACATCGGTCACGATTTTATTCAGCGACACCTTAAGCACTGACTTCATTTCACTTGATTTTAACAGCGATTGAGTGAACAGGACCTCGATTTCTCACAGTGTTCAGAGACACAAGGGGTCGTTGTTGATCTGTAAACATCAACTTCCTGTTTTGTAATAAACGTTGTGTAGAAAAACACAGATATGTTCAATAAACACATGGTAAAGTTTGCACAGCAGGCTGCAATGTAACATATCCAGCTGCAGTGCAAGAGCCTGCTGTTCAAACCTTACCATTTGTTCATTGAGATGTTTAACGCACAGCGACACTGATCAGTGATACCAAATTTGTGAATTCAGAGAAGATCATCTCAAACTGCAGAGTCGGCAGAGATGAGGGTGAAAGTGGCCTTTTCTCATTTGACTGTAAATATATGATTTAGTTATTCTATGTAAGTGTTTGTGCTGCAGGGATTTGTGACCGAGTTAAATTGCATCATATATAATGCTATGTGTGTGATGTGGAAGGATAGTGTGGGAGCTGCTGTGCAGTAATTGAAACCTTCAGTCTCTCAGAGAGAAAGAGAATATAGAGTAACGTGTGGGTTAATGAACGGAAACACTTTGTGTTTGTGATGCGAGATGGGGCTACGATTGTCCCTCAGGCTGTAAGGAGAACATGTGCTAAAGTGTAAATTCGCGGAGAATTGTGAATAATCGTCAAATTCGGTTTGATTTCTGAAAGAGGTTGACTCGAGTTCTGAAGAGGAACCGGTACTCTAAATTTTAAGTAAATTTAAGATTATTACACACTTCCGCAAAATCTTAAATTAGAGATATAATGATCTCTCGTTGTTTATTAATAGTTGTTTATTGGGATCTCAGATGTGAACAAAATTTATTGATCAATGACGATAAAATGGTCGTGGGTGCAGGAAAGAGGAAACAGATGCACATTTACCAGCAACAGTTTTGCAGTGTATTCTGCGCAGCGCATTGCGAATTCTCGAAGATGTAATCAGGCGCTAAATGAAAGGCAAATAATATGATTATTTTATTCCGAAATATGAAAGTAAACGTGTTTTGCAGCTGCAATGCAATGCAGCGCCATTGACAACAAATCCTAAGACAGCGACTTCTCTTTTTATTTAACCTTTTCGGTGCAGCTGTGTGACACAATTACTCGTAAATGTGGTTATTTCTGCGTCTGTATTTAGCGCTGTGCAGCAGCTGTTGCAGGTTCCGTAGGTCACATTCACCAATCAGACAGGATCCCCTGTGAGAGACTTGTATTGGGCACAACACTGATTAGAGTCCTTCATTCCTCATCTGAACACTGAATCTGCCCATTATATGGTCTCTGCAATTGTGTTGACAAAATATTTAACAGGGACCAAAATTCTTCAACAGTCAAACAAATATTTTCCGCCCTGAAATTTTTCGGACTATTCACCTCACAGTTTAGTCTGTAAAACGCTTTGAGATATCTCGAAAGTGTCGATAAGACACTATATCAAATGGATGAATTATTATTATTAATAATTAATGTACTATTTTAATACCACTTAGCAGCTGACAGGTGGCAAATTGGCTGCGGCGAATCTGTAACCAATCTGAACAGAGTAACTTGTTTTAGTATATGTCGGAACAAGAAAAAATATATTTTTTAAAATTTTCGGAATATTGGATAAAAACGCAAGATGATCCACATGTCTGAATATCCTTGGATCGATATTTTTTGGTGAATCCAGTGGACGATTTGAAAATGGAAGCAAAATTTTTATTTGAGGTGTTTTTTTAAATGCCGCACGACTTTAACTCTGAAAACGAAGTTAATCGGCGTAAGACCAGTGAACATTTTGGCCTGAAATGATTTAAAATTAACGTTATAACCACCGTCTGTTGCTCCGTGTTTCAAAATTGAAACTGGTCAGGAGGTGACTTTGAGTTTCTTCACAGTCGATGCACAGTCACTGACACCAGGTTCACATACAGATAGCTCTGCATTAATATATCGATTTGTATCTATTTATCTATTCATTTATTCATTTATTTATCTATTTACCATTTATTTATTTATTTATTAATTTATGTATCTATGCATCTATGTATCCATGTATTTATTTATTTATTTATATCTTTATTTGTTTCTTGATTTATTTCTTTATTTCTTTATTTCTTTATTTCTTTATTTCTTTATTTCTTTATTTCTTTATTTCTTTCTTACTTTCTTTCTTGTTTTTTGCTTTCTTTCTTTATTTCTTTATTTATTTATTTTTCAGTCAGGCAGACAGAGATAAACACAGAGAGAGAGAGAGGGAAAGGAAGTCGATGCTCTGCTGTGTAAATTAGCAATTTCTCTCTCATACAAAAGTCACACTTGAGCCAACATTATTGGGATACTAAATTTAAACTGGCAATTTTTTTAACGTGGAGTCCTGTAGCTCAGTGGTTAGAGCACTCGCTTTGCAAGCGGGAGACCTGAGTTCAATTCCAGGCAGAGGGCCAAACCTTGGGCAAGTTTCCTTACTCCACACAGAGCCTAATAATAATCCCTCCAAAACCAAAAACAATAATAAATTGGTCATTTTCAATCTACGACTGTTTGTGGGACATTGCTGTGTGCAATTGGCTGCCGCGTTCGTCCACAAATATACAGTCAATTCACTTTACAGTGTGTTCTGTGAAGCGCTTTGGGATGTCCTCCTGACATGAAAAGCGCTATATGAATTGCAAGGATTATTATTATTATTATTATAACGTTGGAGCCAATTCAGGAGCTGCTCTACAAAGCGCACTCCTCACCGCGCGCTACAAGTGCACAGTGCAGCTCTGGCCGTACAAACGTTGATAAAGATTACAAATATATGAAGGCTACATTTCTCCTTAAACCGTTATGTATGAAAACCTTGGTCTCAGCACAAACTCCAGCTGGGATGCTTTGCTGGAACAAGTACGCACACAGACATGAACACACCAATAAAATAATAATCATTGCATTAGCTACAGTGCCTCTCACGGCGGAGATAGGCCACAAAGCGCATCACAGGATTGAATGTAAAGTGCGTTGACTGAATTTTGTGGCCAAAACGTCAACAGTCCGATTCGTAAAGCAAATCCGCACAAACAGGCGTAGAGAGTTTGGCCGATTTTATTTGGGGGGATTGTTGACGAGGGCGCGGAAAACAGAGAACGAGATGGAAAGACATAGTTGGAGAGAAAGAGAGAGAGAGAATGTGTGTGTTTGGGGGGTTGGGGGGGGGGGGAGAGACAGAGAGAGTGTGAGAGAGATTGAGAGAGAGAGAGAGAGAGAAATTGCCATCTCTTTTTGAATACGTCATGGGATCTTCATGCATGCACACACACACACACACACAAACAAACACACACACACAAACAGCCATACAGACATTAGCTTAATGGCCTATTCCTGTTGCCTTCATTTCCCGAGAGCTGCTTTTCTCGGAGATAAAGTGCAGATACGAACGGAATAGGAATCATTTCACGCGGTTCAGTTCGAAAGAAGAAGACCTAACGATTTTCCGTGACAAACAGGGAAAGGGGAATAGAAGAGTTGCCAACTCCAAGCTCAGCTTAGAGTTCAATGCAAAGCATCAGACAAAACGATTGAGGAGATTGCAATGTTTATTTTTCTAAAGATAAATTTGAACTGGGAAGGTTGAAAGAGATAAGTGAATTAGAGGCAAGTATCCACATCATGGTTGAGATCAATGTCTGTTTTCATATTAATACCAATTACACCTAACGCAATATATTTTTAACGTAACATAACGTATTATTCAATGTATTTCAGGGAATGTACAACCGAAACCATTGCCCCCAGTTGTGTTCCTCACACAGCCTTCCCCTGCAGAAATCAAAATACACAACCAGGCCACTGCTGTCTGCTCAATAAACAGCTTCCGTCCGGACAAACTCAGTGTTAAATGGCTGAAAGACTGGGAACCCATCACCTCAGGTGTTGTGACCTCTCCCTCGGCTAAAGAGGACAACGGGACATTCAGCAGCAGCAGCCGCCTGACGGTCCCCGCCAGAGAGTGGGCACTGGCGCGGTTTACACCTGCCAGGTGTCCCATGAACCCACCCAGACCATCATTGTCAAGAACATCACCACCCCAACAGGTAGGAGGAACAGCAGCAGCTGGTACACATGGCAGCAACGTGGCTCTCAGTGTCCTTTGATATTTACACCGGAGGCCTGTAGCTCAGTGGTTAGAGCCCTGGCGTTGCAAGCGACAGACGTGGATTCGTTTCCCAGACAGAGCAAGATGTTGGGCACTTTTTTTACATCACTCGCCTCTGCTTATCCAGCAGTAAGTCGGGACCGGGTTGTCAGTGAGTTGGTGTATCTCCTGGGCGCCACTGGCTGCCTCGTTTCAGCCACAGAGAAAAATTAATTGACACGACAGCATTGTCTGTAAAGCACTTGGAGACGTCCCGAGGAAGTGATGAGGCACTATATGGAACGCAGCAATAATTATTATCATTAATGTTAAGGGTAGAACAATCAGCATCGTAGACATGGGCAACTCAGTTTTCTTCTCCAGGATATTTGAACACTGACATCACAGAAAACCTTCTACGGTCTAATGGTACCACACTCATTTCCCGATTGCTGATTTAGTGGAATATATCAAAAGCAGTGATTGAGTAGGTTACATAATTTCTATCTTTCTGAAGGAAAAAAAAGATAAGATTATCTTGACTAGGAATATAGAAAGGTCAATGAGTGAGAAGTGTCCATATCGTGGCTGATCTCAATTTTTTTTCAATATTGGTATAAACTTCACATAGCAATATTTATGTCCATGGAGCAAAACATGACCTATCGTTTAATCTATTCCAGATAATGTACCTAAGCCAACGCCGCCAGTTGTTATCCTCACACAAACTTCCCCTGAAGACATCACCAGGCACAACCAGGCCACTGCTGTCTGCTTAGCATTTGGTTTTCATCCGGACATACTCCGGGTTAAATGGCTAAGAGACTGGCAGCCCATCACCTCAGGTGTTGTGAGTTCTCCCTCGGTTAAAGAAGACAACGTGACATTCAGCACCAGCAGCCGCCTGACTGTCCCCGCCAGAGAGTGGAGGAGTGGCGCGGTTTATACCTGCCAGGTTTCCCATGAACCCACCCACACCATCATTGTCAAGAACATCACCTCAGGTGGGAAACACGGCAATAGTTGGTACACATGGCAAGAACGTCACTCTCAGTTTCCTTTCAAATGTCCACTGGTGAGAGCTCTATTGATACATTGCTTTCAGCCCCATTTGGATATTTCACTGGGAACAACACACAAGCGAGCTTATTCCCAGTTTTGTTGATCTTTACGGCATGAGGAAATCGGGCCCCAATTCTCACGCAGTATTCAGTGGGTAGCAACAAAGATCATGTTTCTGATCTACTGCTCATGAGGAGCTGAGGCATCACTCACAGGTCCACGGGATTGTGGCGGTTTTGCTCATATTCCACCCGCTTCCTCAACATCTACTACCACTGAACTTTCTGATCACAATTTGTATCAAGCAGGGCGGATATACATATAAACACAGTCAAAGCTCATCCATCATATGCGTTACATCATGAGCGGTTGTCCGTCGGAGGGAATTGGAAATCAATAGGCCAAATATCACGCAATGCTTCAGGCAGGATTGCTCAACTTTCCAGTAAACTATTCCATCAACGATTGAAAATTGTATTAGGAAACAACAATCTGCGGTCAGATGAGCCAGAAAGTGAGAATCTTCATGGGCGGTCATTGCTTAACTTGACCCAATATGAAATTCTGGAAATGGGCTGTTCTTTGTCTTTCTAAGTTTCTTTTACTTTTCTAGAATGCGAGGATCCCTCTGGAGGTGTCAAGATCTATATCCTGCCACCTGCACAGCGACAGGTTTTGATGGATTCCTCTGTAACGCTAACATGTGTCGTGGTTAATGCACCACTTCATGTCAACGTGACTTGGACACAAGGAAATACACATTTGCAGTCTGGATATGGGAAAACTTCTGCCACTGAGCCTCAGAAAGTGATCAGTAAATTAAACATTTCTGTATTAGACTGGAACAGTGGTAAAGAATACTTCTGTGTAGCCAGCCATGATGATATACCATCTCCCATCAGAGAAAAGACGTTTAAGAAGACAGGTGAGGAGTGAAAAATAATTTACGTGTTTATTATAATTCCAGAATATAGGAAAACCACTGGGTGCAAATAATAAATTGCTGTCGAGAGATTTCAATCAACATCCGTGTTCCCATTCGCACCTGCAATTACAAACAGCTGAACGCAGTCTGAACAGAAAAACACATCAATCTCAGCTTATTCTGCAGACTCTTATGCTCCAAACTTTTCTCTGATTGACCACTTTCAGTGTATTGATTCGATTGTGTTCTTTCAACAGTGGAGCACGTGAAACGACCTTCAGTGTATCTCCTCCTCCCGTCGGCAGAAGAATTGTCTGCTCAGCAGTCTGTCACCCTCACCTGCCTGGTGAAGGACTTCGCTCCCAAAGAGATCTTTGTGCAGTGGACTGAGAATGACCAGGTGATTGATGGCAGTAACTACAAGAACACTGATGTGATGGCAGACAGTGCAGATCGCAACTACTCCATGTACAGCATGTTGTCCATCTCAGCCGGAGACTGGGGCAGAGGAAACTCCTACTCCTGTGTGGTCGGACATGAAACTTTCCCAATGAAGACTCTGACCAGATCCGTTAATAAATCCAGCGGTAAACCGAGTTTTGTAAATATTTCCCTTGTCCTGATGGACACCGTGAATGCCTGTCAATGAGTGTCCCTCAATACCATGTTGCCTATTCTCTTATGCAACCGCTTCCCTCCCATTGCATTGGCTGTTTGTTTTCATGAACAAGTAACTCAAATAAAGATTATAGTTGCATTGATGTGTCAGGTACAGAGAGGATGATTTGCAATTAATTAACTTCACTGTCAACTTCCATAGCAAGGACAGATACATCCATTTTTGGGGGGATGTTAGCATCAAGTTAATAGGACAGTCAGGTTGGTTTGTACACTCTTAATCATCGTGATGGGTTTGCAGGTGTCAGACACCCGGGTGACCAAAAAAAAGTTACCCGTCCGAAATTATTCTACTTTACTTGCTACAGCCCAACTCAGACTGTACTTTATTTGCAGTTTGATTCAGAATAGCACAGTGAAGCTACACCTGTTCCTTTTCAACATATTTTCTTTCCCACCGAATAGCATCGCATTCCACGTGTAATAACATCGCGGACGTAAACTCCGGCTTTTTATTGCTACATTTCCATTAAAAGTATATACTTCTCACACTGAAACTGATCCGAATACAGGAAAATGTTCATTTAAACATAAGCTTAGCCATACATGGACATTGTAACCAAATGCATTCATTCAAACTCACATCCACACATACTGACAAACAACATCATATCCATCCAGGCCCACACACACTCACGTGTCCACCCATGTTCACAAACACACACGCATACACACAGAGACACAGACACACAAACTCACATCCTCCCAGGGGCCACACACACATACACTCACACATCCCCGCAGGTCCACACATGCAGACACTTGCAGACGCAAACTCACGTCCACCCAGTCCCACACACACTCACACACACTCACACATCCACCCTGGCTCACACAAACTCACTTATATCCACATCCAAACAAGCCCCTACACATTTCCGCACACACACTTACCGGGGACGACAGACTCACACTGATTTCCATTAAGGCCCACAGATACTCACACACACCCACTTCCATCCAGGCCCCCATCAGCTCACACTCACCCAGGCCCACGCACACTTAAACACACTCACATACCCATATTTACAATTAATTACACAGACAACTTGACACATTTACATCCACCAAGGCAGACACTCACACACGCTTACATCAACCCATGTCGCCACACAAATACATACATGCAGGAACACGCACATATACATATATATACACATCCACGAATGACCACACACACAGACGCACACTCACCCAAGCCAATACAAAATCAATAGCGCTATGGATGAACCTTTTTAAATTTAATCCTCATTTACTTTAGTTAATTTACAGAGACGTTTGTGCCGGTTCCTACAATAATATTAACGATTGTGAAATCGACATGGCTATCCATGATAAAAGAGATGATGGTCTAATAGGGTTGTTAGACACAGTCAGGAATAACTTTGGCAATTGTATAAGATTACAGACGCCTTGGCTGAGTTGGCCGAAAAGTGGAATTGCAGTTCAATATCAGTTACGGCTTCTGTTATAAGTGACGAGTGGAAAACCTGGAGTAATAGTCGATGGGAGCGCATATCAAATGGAGTAAAAATGGACCCTGTCATTTTTGTTGGGCAATCGACTGTTAATTAAATATAAATTTAAGTTGGTGGATTAGGGGTGGATTATGGGTGGTGTACAGTGTGCGGTTCTGGGCATTTTATTAAACAAAGGAAATAAGAGCTCCTGAGAGGGTTTTGGGAAGTTTCACAAAGGTTACTGTGTTGAGGAATAGCTTCACATAGCGCGGCTGCTCTCGAAAGGAAAGTGCAGGTAAATCAGAAAGGGAAGATCAGCAAATACAAGTTTTCAAATGTATTTAAGTTTTGAAAGGCTGATACAGTGAAAAGCGATAGTATCCATAAAAATGGGTATAAGAGGTCCAGTAAAATCACTGTAAAATATAATGGCAAAGTCGATTTTTATATCGAGAATTGTTTAGAATAGAGAAATCTTCACCTCAGCATTATAATGTAAAGGAATTTCAAATATTATTTGAACAGAGACGATGTGAACTTGCAATAGGGCAAAAAGAAAGATAGGATTGAAGGATTGGAGTAGATCTGTCCTTTCACTACCAGCAGAGACTCAATGGGAGAACTTCCTTCTTTCTGCATTTGCACAAATTGAGCCTTCCCAAAATGTTCCTCAAATTCTTCCGTGGAATCTATATTGAGAGGAACATACTATAAAATAATATTTTTCTTCATTTGCCTTTGAATTAAAAGTTTGGAAGAAATGGTATGAAGTCAAGTGTTATTTAATAGACGGAGAGAGCCATTAATTAACTCGGAATCTCTACATACGTTAATAGTATAACAGAAAAAACAAGAAATGTCTGAGTTGTCAATGCGCTCTGAAGATTTTTCCCTTTTTATAACCTCACAGATTTGCCAAACGAGATGATGCTGGAAGGATTTCAAGAAGTTCAGTGTGACAACCTCTGGCCTACTGCGTCCACCTTCATCATCCTCTTCTTCCTGAACATTTTCTACAGCGCTACCGTAACTCTTTTTAAGGTGAGGAGAGTAAATGCATTTAGGCCACGATGTCGTGCAACGGCTGCTGTTAAATATTCGGTGCATGGAAAGGCTAACAGTGAAGCTCATTGCAACCACTCTGTTGGCAAACTCAAACTCTACCTACAGGCCAAGATTCTTGTGACTGTGCTGTGTACAGGGTGATCCTAATATCCCATCTCCCTTACACACCCGAACACACCTGGCATGTGCTCAACTGCTATAGACACAGGCAAGGTGCAAGGATTACTGTCTGTGTCAGCCCCCAGCAGACAAATACAAATTCACACAGAATCACTTGGACCCTTGTGTATCCGTGTGTGTGTACATAATAATGATAATAATAATACTCCTTGCATTTGATATAGCTCTTTTCCATTCGGGAGGACGTCACCAAGCGCTTCACAGAACATACTGTAATGTGAATTGAGTGCATATTTGTGGGCCAACGCGGCAGTCGATTGCGCACAGCAATGTCACACAAACAGTCATGGATTCAAAATGATCAACGTTTTTTGTTTTTTTGAGGGATTATTATGAGGCGTATGTTTGTTTGTTTGTGCGTGTTTACCTGTTTGGATTGATATACACTTATAAACACAAGCTTGAATATCATGGCATCTTTATTTCTATTTTCCAGGTAAAATGAATTCATAAAGATCAGCTTCAACGATGTGTCCCGTCCGTTTGTGCTTAACAAGAGCGTCGTGTGAAAGATTACGCGCTGCCTGTTTTCACTCATTGTGCAAATCACTTAAATTAAACATTGTGTTGTGCAACTGCTTGAATTTTCGTGGCTTTTGTTATTGTTCGTTTATTTTACAAATGTTTCTTTAGGTAACAATAACTGAAGTTGTTAACTCTCACGCCTCTCTGATATTCTCCATTTGCAGTTTCCCATTTTTTTGGTGTAAAGAAACAGAAAGTTAGTGGCTGAGATAATTTGTCCTTTTTTTTAATCTGAAGCTGAATCTTTGATTCTGCTCCGGTTTCATATTATCTCCAGATTCTAATAATAATAATAATAATAATAATCCTTGCATTTGATATAGCGCTTTTCACGTCGGGAGGACGTCCCAAAGCGCTTCACAGAACACGCTGCAAAGTGAATTGACTGTATATTTTTGGGCGAAAGCGGCAGCCAATTGCGCACAGCAATGTCCCACAAACAGTCGTAGATTCAAAATGACCAATTTATTATTGTTTTTGGTTTTGGAGGGATTATTATTAGGCTCTGTGTGGAGTAAGGAAACTTGCCCAAGGTTTCGCCCTCTGCCTGGAATTGAACTCAGGTCTCTCACTTGCAAAGCGAGTGCTCTAACCACTGAGCTACAGGACACCGTCTCTTGTGTGCCAGAAGCATCAATAAAAATATTACAATCTCAATGATCTGTTTGTTTCCTCTTTCCTGTTCCTTTTGTGTCAATTGTGCCTTGCCGTTGCTTTCCAAATTATTCTGATTCCCAGTAACTCAGCATTAAACAAAAGCTGTTGAATTTAATGTCAAACTTCAGTTGCAGCTTTGCTGAGAACACTAAACGCGATGATAGTTCCGCTTGAGATGGTTCTTCGCTCCAGTGAACAGCAGCCTTTTCCGTCCCGCATTGATCAGCCCCTCACCAAGATACAGCTTCAGACACATGACTATTCCAAAATAGTAACATGCAGCTCTGTGTTAGAGTATTTATAGCACAATGTGAGAGCGCAATCTGTTTTATACATTGACAGAGCTTTATCTCCTGCCTGTGCTGAGCTGGACAATCTGACCAGGGCAGCACCTCAATTGGAGACCGTAAAGCCCAAATTCCTGCTGCGACGTTGGCCCATACACTTCTTCACAGGTCATACTGTGAAAATCATGGGGACGTCCTGCTGGTGTGAGAGACACTGAACCAAACACAGTGATACTTATCATTGTTATTGATAACGACATAAACCTCACGGGCTGCAATACAATAGTATTTTGGATCTAATAGGCCTAAACATTCCCACTGAAGACCCTGACCAGAAAGGTTAATAAATCCAGCGGAAAATCGAGTGTTGTAAACATTTCCCTTGTCCTGAAGGACACCGTCAATGCCTGTCAATGAGTGTCTCTCAATACTATTTTTCTTTATCTTTTAGGCATGCACCTCCCTACCATTGCATTGACTGTTTGGTTTCATGACAAAGTAACTCAAATAAAGATTACAGTTGTACTGATGAGTCAGCTACAGAGGGCATGATTTACAACTAATTACACAGACAACTTCTATAATAAGGAGAGATACATCCTTTCCTTGAGGCGATTTGAACATCAATTTAATAGAACTTTCAGATTGGTATGTGAGCTATTAAGCAGTTTGATGAGTTAACACGTGTCAGAAACTGGGTTGATCAAAAAAAAGGCGCTAATGCTCCCAAATTAATCTACATTAATTGCTACCACCCAATCTAGGACTAGATTTTATTTGCAGTTTCATTTAGAATTGCACAAGTCAGCTACACCTGTTCCTTTCCATGATACTTTCATTTCCACCGAATAGCATCGCAATCCGCATGCAACAGCATCTCTGCTGTAAGCAGCGTCCTTTTATACTACATTTCCTTTAAA